AAAGAATAAAAATGAATGAATATTGTTAGCTTTGATATTATGAATTACTATATCAATAGCTTTTAATTATGATTCACTTTTTTTTCATTAATCTTGATCATTCTGAAATTATTAATATTAATATTATAACTAGATCTATTTATTTTTTTTCAATTATTAAAAATAAAAATTATATAATAAATTAGAAAGATTATATAATATATACTGATAAATAAAAGTAAAAATATGTTTCTATTACCAGAGTAAAAATGATAAAAATCTAATATACTTCTATTTTTTTACTGGATAAAAAATGAAACTATATCAAATTTTTTAAAAAATGGATTTTGCTAAAGTAAAATCAGGTTTCTTATATAGATCTATTTTTTATTCAGTAAAAAAAATAAAAGTATATTAAATCTTTTAAAAAGTATTTTTATTCTGGTAATAGAAACAGATTTTTATTAAAGTAAAATCAAATTTTTTGTATAAATTCATTTTTTATCCAGTAAAAAAAAGAAATATATTAAATTTTTTAAAAACTGTTTTTACTCTGGTAATAAAAACAAATTTTTGCTAAAATAAAACTGGATTTTTGCCTAATATATTCAAAAATTTTTTTTACAAAAACAAATAAGTAAATAAACAAATAAATAAACAAATAAATAAGTGATATTACGATTAGAAATTTCTATAATTCCTATAATTTTCATAATTTTCATAACTCTTATAATTTTTATAATTTTCATAAACTTTAAAAACTATAAAAAATTCTATAATTTCTGTATTTTTCATTATTTTTATATATATATTAATTAATTAAATTTTATAAATTATCATTTTTATATAATTAGTTATAAATATAATATCTACTAATGAAAAATATTTATTATAAATAAAGTGCAATTAAAGTTTTGAAAAAGGTATCAATTGATCAATACAAAATCTAACTAGTCAATAAACTGCTTCTTGTTTATTGTTTAATAAAATTGTATATTAATTGATTTTATAATTATTAATCTTGTTATAATACTTATTTTATATACTACTAAACACTCAACTAGATTGCTATAGAATATTAATATTGTATTGTTATAGAACTATTATCATACTAAGTAAATATTAAAAAGATATTTATTAGTAGTGATATTTCCTATTCTAAATTAATAGAATAGAAAAAGCTGTATATCATCATGATTTTAAAGCAATTGAATTGAATTATAAACTTACTGAAATAGACGTTAATTAAACATCTATGTTATGAGATTACTTATTTAAGCTCAGGATTCGTGATAGTGAATATTGAACTAATAAAATAGAATTAAAGTAAATTAGTAAATATGAATTCATATAGCTGATAAATTATAATTTGAATATATATAAAAGCAACATGTATTATAGTTATTAGAATTAAATTAAAACAAATTTTTTGATAGTAATATTCTTAATTATTACCTTATAACTAGTTATCACATAGTTTTAATTATTTAAATGAGCAAAGTTTGCACTTATTGTAGAGTAGATAATTAAATACAAATTTCTCTTTACACCTTTTTGACAAAGTATTCTTGTTTCTTGTATAATCATTTCAGTATCTTTGCTATAAGTGTTATATAGATCTTGAATTAATATTATAGTAACTTAAGCATATTTGCCAGGAGCACTATAAAAATTATTATTTTAATACTAGATTATCTGAATATATTTGTAATAAAATCTATTAAATATTATATTAAATAAAGAAATTATTATTTTTATCTATAAATCTGTCTTTAAGATTGTATTACTGATAATATATTACTCATAAACTCATCTTTAATATTGTATTGCTAATAATATATTATTTATTTTCAATCTTATACAGTGGCTTGCAAAAGAAATGAGACACTTTAAAAATAATTTTAAATTTTAAATAACTTTATAATTATCAAAAAAAAAGATTTCAAAATAGATTTGTTTTATTAATTATTTAATATATTTTAATTATATTAAATTTAATTTGATGATCAATTCACATGATTTACATGATGATCATTTCTAATTTTTTATCTGTCTCATTTCATTTGCTGTTTTTTGGTCACATTTTTTCTTGTAGGACGAAAATTCTAACTGTAATAAACAACACTGGTAGAATAATAATAAACCAGTATACTATCATCTAACTTTATTCCCCATCCAGTGCCCTTCCAATAATGCCGCGAATTACTGCCGAAAAACGAGTACGAATATGTACCCTTATCGAACTTGGATTTTCAGCAAGAAAAGCTGCTTCTATGGAAGGCGTTGGTCATGCGTCCGCTTCACGATTAATAAAAAAAAAAGGCGAGATCGATAGCTTGGAAGACTTGCCGAAGTCTGGTCGTCCCCGGCTTCTTGGAGAACGTGACGAACGAAAAGTTGTTAGGTATATCACTTCTGGCAAATGCAAGACCGCAGTTGACGTGCAAAAGAAACTCCAAATCGAATATAATATGCCAATTTCCGCTGATACCGTACGCAAAACATTCAAAAGAAATGGTCTGCAGTCACGAGTCCGAAAAAAAAAACCATACCTCTCAAAGACACACAGAAAACAACGTCTAACCTTTGCCCGGAAATATCAAAATTGGACGTCTGAAGATTGGAAGCGTGTAGTGTGGTCGGATGAAAGTAAGTTCTGTATTTTTGGTTCGGATGGACGCCAGTATATCTGGAAGAGGCCAGAGGATCCAATTCGCAGTTCCCACGTCAAACCTACAGTGAAATTTGGCGGTGGTTCAATCATGGTGTGGGGGTGTATGACTTCTCGTGGCGTTGGAAACCTTTGTCGCATTGATGGTGGTCTCGACGCTGAACTTTATGTACAAATACTCGATGAAGATTTCCTCGGATCGTTATCGTGGTACGATATAAACATAAACGACGTTATCTTTCAATCTGACAACGACCCGAAACACACATCAAAAAAAGCGAAGAAATGGATTGGGGAACATAATGTTAATGTTCTAGATTGGCCGGCCCAGTCTCCGGATCTAAATCCGATAGAGCATCTCTGGAATGAGGTGGACCGACGTCTCAGGCATCTTCCAGAACCAATTTCGGGAAAAGACGACCTCTGGGAAAAAATCCAGGACATATGGAATGCTCTGGAAGTCGACGTTTGCACCAAGTTAATCGAAACTATGTCGGAAAGGGTACGTGATGTAGTAAAAGCCAAGGGAGGCTACACAAGATGGTAATTTTATAACTAAGCTAAGCAAATGTGCATTTTATTTTGATTCACTATATCTAAGAAAAAAATAAATCAATGATTAATATTAGCATAAAAATCAGCAAAATAATAAGAAAATTTAAGAATGCATGTATTTTTTTTTTAGTTTAAGTAGTTAAATTTAATTATATATCATATGATAAATTATAAATTAAAAAATTTAAATCAATAAAAATCTATCTAATTATTATGCTCAATTATAATATATTTAAAATTATTTATTTTTTTTAAAGTGTCTCATTTCTTTTGCAAGCCACTGTATTGTTGATAATACAAATATTATAATCTTTATATCTTTGACTTTGAGATTTTGAAAACTCTTTTTAACAGTCCAGATTATTATATTAAAGAACACAATTATTATCAATTTTTAAGTGATTTTGGCACTATTATTTTTAATACTTATTCATATTCAGTTTAATAATCATAAAGTATTATTAATACTTAGAATTATTATTAAGATATTGGAAGTTTCCTTTGAATATTCCTTTAATTTTTATAAATACCTTTGAGTATTTTAAAAGTCAATCAAAATGATAACAATATGAATTTTTCTTTTTATATAAAAATTTTCAATTTTATTAATAAATATTTTTTATTTTTACATTAAAATGAAGATAATTACATATAGCTTTATCAGATTAAATTTGAAAAATCTGAAAAAATATATGTTAAAATATGTAATATTATCTTCATTTTAATGTAAAAATAAAAAAATCTGCATTTTATTATGTTTAATTAATAAATTTTGATGTTGTATTATTTCTGATTGTCACTATATATGCTTTATTATAATTTATAAATCAATATTCAAATTTTTATAAAAACTTGAAAATAACTAGAATAAAACCTGAAAAATAATATTTTATTATTAAAATTATATGTTAAATCTTTATATTATAAACTAATTTTTTATTAATAATTTATAAAAAATTATTTTTTTCTTTTAAAATCTGTAAAATGATTATTTATATTTTAAAATACAAAATTTTTTATTATATTATAGAATTTAACATTATAAACAAGTTTAATTATTATATAAAATACTATTATATTAATAAAAAATTAACTTTATATAGTAAAATTATTATTAATAATTAATAAGTATTCTCATACTTTTTATCAGTCATTATATTTTAAAATCTTTAAAAAAAATAGTTAATTATAAAACTTTTTTTGATTTTATATGTTTAGATTGCATGTGAGTGAAAATCGGGTGATCAACGATTAGCAATGTAAGTGGTGCGTTATTTTTGCAGGGCACTGTATATCGATATAGCTTTATCAGATCCTGAATGATTTTTTCATATAAATCATGATCACATGGATAACAATGACCGTGAAACTAATAAATGTTTATTCTATTTCTTATACTGCCTTTGTTATTTAAATTAATGCATGCTATGTTTATTCTGATTCTTTGTTTCTTAAGTTACTAATAGACAATGGCAAATTCCAAAACTTATAAAAGGACTCGATCCTGTGATGATAAAATCACATAATTTAAGGATCGAATTTGAACTTTCCTTGAAAGGATCGGATGGGACCCTAAAAGACCGATTAACATCTCTAATTTTTGATCAACCCGGCAAAACAAATTTGCCACAAGAAAATGAGTAACCCTAATTTTTAATTAGTGCGGAATGCTTCGGGTAATTTTTGTGGCCGGGAAAAGTCGGATCGGAAATCACGCGAAGAGAAAATCGATCGTGTGTGAGTTGGGTAAAATCAGCAACACAGAATCTCGGAAGTAATTTATATCAACGCGAAAATGAAATATAGGTCAACGCGCGGTTCCCCTAAATCACTTAGCTTTTCAGAAGCCGTCTTGGTAGGTCTTGCTGAAGACGGTGGCTTATTAATTCCTCATTACATTCCTAACCTTCCTATCGGTTGGCATACAACCTGGCGAAACCTTCCTTACACAACCCTCGCCCATAAAATTTTTTCTTTGTATATTCCTAACTCGGAAATACCTTCAAAAGATCTGGAAAACATTATCACTCGCTCGTATAACAGTTTCAAAACACCGGTTGTTGCTCCTTTGGTTAAAATAAAGCCAAATTTATACATCTTAGAGTTATTCCATGGACCAACTTTCGCTTTTAAGGATGTTGCTCTACAGTTTCTAGGAAATGTGTTCGAATATTTTTTGGAGAAGCAGAACGCAAAAAAAAGCAATGCTGAAGAATTGAATAAAATTACCGTTATAGGAGCGACTAGTGGGGATACTGGAGGTGCCGCTATTTATGGCTTACGTGGTAAAAAGAATATCTCCGTATTTATACTACATCCTCGAGGAAAAGTCTCACCAATACAAGAGGCCCAAATGACCACTGTACCAGACAGCAATGTTTATAATTTAGCGGTAGAAGGGACTTTTGATGATTGTCAGGTATAGAAATGATTAATTTACTGAATTATCGCGTGTTTAATTTTACTTATTAATTTAATTGCTTCACTAATAGGATATCGTAAAAGCCTTATTCAATGATACCCTATTTAACCAAAAATTTCACCTTGGTGCGGTTAATTCAATCAATTGGGCCAGAATACTCGCTCAAATAGTCTACTATTTTCACTCATACTTTCAATTACTTGATTCTTTAAATATTACACCTGATTCTCACAATATCCCTAGTGTAAAGTTACAATATATAGTGCCCACGGGAAACTTTGGTGATGTGCTTGCAGGATATTATGCCAAAAAAATGGGATTACCGATTGATTCATTGGTTATTGCTACAAATTCCAACGATATTTTAGATCGATTTTATAAGAATGGCAGATACGAGAATTCAGGTGTGGTTGAAACTCATAGTCCAGCGATGGATATCGCAATATCAAGTAATTTTGAAAGATGGTTATGGTACCTGGCATATGAAGAGACTGAGTATGACGAAGAAATACGGGAAGAAATAGACGAAAGAGTAAATCGCGCAGGTCTTCGTGTTAAGAATTGGATGCATGATATGAGATCCGGTAAAGGATTGCTAATTGGAGATGAACTTAAAAAAGTTGCACGTCGTGATTTCAATAGTGACCGAGTAACAGATCAAGAGGTATTATTGTTATTTTTCTATTCTAATAAAAAATTGGCGTTTTCTAAAGACAATAAGGATTTTTCAAGTAGACGTTGGACACAATTAATCGTTATTACTCTTGCAAATCTAAAGACCAACTTTCCTCGTATGTTTTTGATCCACATACCGCAGTAGGTGTGACTGCAGCGGAAAGACAACATGTGACTAGTGAAATATATCAAATATGCTTAGCGACAGCACATCCCGCCAAATTTTTTAATGCTGTTGAAAAGGCACTTGAAAATATACCTTCTTTTAGATTTGATGCAATCACACCTCCGGAATTTGAAGGATTATTGGAAAAGGAAAAACGAGTCATCAATGTAGATCGTGCTGATCCAGAACTGGTAAAAGAGATTATAGAACGCGAGTTGAAAAGTAATATTTTATATTAATGTCGTAAAGATATTGTTATGAATAAACTACTGATTAAATTTAATTTATTTAAAATCTAAAATAGCAAACAACACCACCAAGACGTCATCGATTTCTTTAATTGGCAAATTCATAGACACTTTAGATTTTTCTGCCAAGAAACATTCTTTTCAAAGACGTAAAGATCCTCAACAAACCCGTAAGTCGACTGATATGATCAATAATTGCCAAAAAGCATGTTTATTATTAACATTTGCAAAAACTGATATTTTCCGATCTCAAAAGCTTATATAAACCACCCAATCGGTGTTGCTAAAATCTTGACCGATGCCGGAATTGATGATCTTGCCACCATCCAAGCGGCCATTTTGGTAATTGTCTGAAACTTTTGAATTTATGCAATGCAATTAAATACTCGTACAATAATATATCTACCTACCTTCATTAGCACGATACGGTTGAAGATACTGATACGTCATTCGAAGAAGTTTGTTTTTTATGCTAGTAAATTTCTTACGAAAATTTGACAAAAACTCTTTCTGAAATTTTCATATCTGTTTCAGCTTGAATTACATTTTGGAAAAGAGGTAAGAGACCTTGTAGAAGAATGCACGGATGATAAATCTCTGCCAAGATTGGATCGTAAGCGTCTACAAATTGAAAGCACACCACACAAATCGAATAAAGTAAGTAGATTGTCTTTAACGAAACTTGTTAAGATCTTGTACATCTGTTAAGATCTTGTACATCTATTAGGCAAAAGCGATAAAACTCGCTGATAAATTGAACAACTTACGCGATTTGGTACGTGCTACACCCATTGGTTGGTCAATTCAAAGAGTCCAAGGTGAGACGAATTCTTTTCGCTATTTGGTCATGTATAAACCATGTATTCTATATTTATGATAATGAATTTATAGAATATTTTATTTGGGCTAAAAAAGTCACAGATGGTAAGCATCTTTCTTTCTTTCTTTAATTTAGCTTGAAAAAAATGTGACTGTTAAGATTTTTTTTAGGAATTGAAGGTGTAAATGAAAAACTCGAGGCAGAACTTGATGAATTATACCGGGATGCTACACTTGAATTTGAAGGTCAAACTTATAAAGGTCACCCTGAATACAGATGAATACGCACATAAACAATTCGATACTTTAGTTGTTAGATTTATTTAATTCATAGACGATTCTTCTACTTATTGTATTTTCTTGCGACTTGTATACTTTTTAAATATATATTTAATTAAGCAAAAATACTCGCGAGCTTGTATCTGTTGTGCCTCAGATCACGCTCAGTACTAGAGTTAGGGTTTGGGTTAACGTTAATGCTGGGAGATAGGTTAATGTTGGCCGAAAATGAGTACGTGAGGCATATACTCGAATTTTTTGATCGAAAATAAAGAATTTCCGGATTTTTAATCACGTGATATGGTGATTTTCTTGCACCGTGGTTAGTTTGTTCAGATCAAAGTGATGGAAGCGCAAAGTGAAATTACCTCCGTTTCAAATGGCGATAACGTGGATTCTGAGTTTGACATTGTGAAATGTTATAGAAAGTTTTTGAGGGATAATGAGGTGATTGTCTTTTAAGTCTCATGACATTCGTGATATTCATCACATTCGTTAAATTTTTGTGGTTTAAATATTTTCTTTACTATTGAGTCCAGGATATGTCTATGCCCATTGCAGCCATTGAATCTTTGATTGAGTTAATAAAGCAGAGCAAAGGTAATATAATGCTTCGGTTTTTAATTAGTTTTTGCATCTCAATTATATCATGTTTGGTAATTAAAATTCTTGATTAGCAACTACTATATCCGAATTCATGGAATCTTTGAAAAATGCTAGTCAAACATTAAAAAGTTCTACGAGAAACTCCATTTCTCTTTCAGCTGGGACTGACTTATTCTTGCGTTTTGTAACAAGAACATCACACGATGTCACGGTGGGTTAGCAAGCGGAAAAGAACATAATTTTCGTTAATACATTTTGATTGATGGATTAATTTATAATGCGAATTAGAATCTTGACGCGTGCAAAGAGCATTTGATGAACAGTGGTAAAGTACTTGTAGAAAAGGCTGCCGCTGTTCGACACAAAATTGCCGAATTGGGAGTACAATTTATTAAGGATGATGCTGTAAGTTTCAAGTGAGAATTTATCACTTATTAGCAATCGACTCTTAATCGTAAACGATTTATTTTACAGGTAATACTCATTCATGCATATTCACGTGTCGTGACGCTCTTACTACAACGCGCTGCTAAATACAATAAACGATTCAAAGTTTATGTTACAGAGTCAAGGCCTACATCATTGGGGTTGGTAAATCTACCGAAAATTCTAATCAGTATCTCCTCGAAGTTGAACTGTTTCTATATTCTATGATTATTAGAGTCCGATCCTCAAAAATTTTACGCAAAGCAGGAATTCCAGCAACGGTTATATTAGATACTGCTGTTGGATATATAATTGATAAAGTCGATGCAGTCTTTGTTGGTGCTGAAGGTGTAGTGGAAAACGGTGGCTTAATTAACGCTGTATGTGTTATCAAAAATTTAATCCTATCTTTATCGTGTCTTTTAAATATTATATAACTCATTTATTCATCAAAGATTGGAACATATCAAATAGCAATAGTTGCTAAAACTGCGAATAAACCATTCTATGCAGTAATAGAAAGGTATCTACAATAGCATTTTGATATAAATTAAAAATTACCGGAATATGTTTCATTAATATATTAGTTATAAATTTGTACGGTTATTCCCTCTTAACCAATATGATCTTCCGACGCACACACCTGATCTTTTGACATTTCCTGACCTTTCGTCTTCGACGCAAAATGATGATTCCGAGTCGATTCCATCATCACCACTAACATGTCATGAGCACAAGCATCGAAAAGATTCTGATGGAAGTAGCGGCGGATATCCAGATTTGGATAAAGCAGCAAACATCGAAAGTGCTCAAGATTTCGAGGTATCATAAATCTCAAAGCATTTTTTTTTTTACTTTTTACTGGTTAATAAATTCATTTCTTATTATTAGTCGAACAATCCAACAGTTGACTACACACCACCACAATACATCACCTTACTTTGTACCGACTTGGGTGTGTTGACGCCTTCTGGAGTTAGTGATGAATTAATAAAATTATATTTATAGGCGTTCAAATCCGGATAACTGCAAATAAAAATAACAGGTTTTACATAATGTATTTAAATTACTCATAATTAAATCGATGCTGCAGTGCAACACATTTGGGAATTTTTTTCGTTGGGTCTCATGCTCAGTGTGCTTGATATTTTAGCCAAATTAAATTTCAGACAAAAATAAAATACCTTACACGACTCGTGCTTACATATTTTACGAGTTTTTGCAATTAGCTATTTCACTACACACACACCATCACTCTCATATAGATAAACACACATCTTGACTGCCGCAATTTTGGTTCGACTCGACTTTTTATTTTAAATTATTGGAGCAGGGTATACAATCTAATTTCTTGTTAAAAAGAATAACCAAAGAGTGAAAAATTACAAATTGCAACGCTGGCTTCGGGACACAAAGTAGTTCCCTTCCCACCTCTTTGTCGTCTGCATCAACAACTGGTCACCGGACAACGGACTCAACCCCCATTTGAATATATATCCATCACATTATTTTTTATTACATTTGCAAAAATTCAACAATGTCTTCAACTACTGCTGCAGCAGCCTCTAGTGAACAAGGCGTTCTTGTCAATCCAACTAGCGTTGCCTCTTTCTCTGTTCAGCCTGCCGCGAACACTGGCATCATTCATCCGACAGCCTCAGAAGAAGCCGTTACAACAACCCCCAACAACGACAATCTTATTATTGCAAATCCTGGTTCTTCTAACGTTAATCTTGCGTCAAATTCAACCGTTTCAGTACCACCCTCCGTTCAACTCTTGAAGATTCACGAAGAACAAGCTATCGCAGCTCATAAAACTGATGTCAGCTTAATGACTGAAACTTTATCAACCGCAGTTAACACTGTTCGCGGATCAAATTCTACTACTGTATACGATGAGGCCAATTGGCCTTCCTTATCGGCAACCTCGGCCCCGATTAAATCATCGTCGGTATGGGGCAGTCGCTCGGGTGCAGAATTGGTTCGTCAAGCTGCTCAAGCAACTACTCCAATTGGTGTTGTTGGTGATCGATTAATCACTTTACCAACTGCAGCTAATATCGCTTCTACTCCATTCACTGGTGTTCAACCAGTACAGCAGCCTCAATTGAAGTTTGCCGGGATTATTACACAAGTGGTCGAGTTATCTGCCGCGCAACAATTGCAAAAACGAGAATTCGGCTTTAAAACTACCACTTCGGACATTGTAAAACGCATAAAGGAAAAAACTAACACTCAGATTCAAGTGTCCACCGCAAATGTATCGGGTACTACAACTTTTTTGATCAAGGGAAAGGCTGATGACGTTTTGAGAGCCAAACGAGAATTATTGTCTAATTTTGCTATAAAGGTATTAGATTAATGAATAAAATGTCTTGCTAAAGGATGATAAAGATATTTGAGTGATCAATTATTTTATTCTTCTATAGACTGAAATTCGAATTCAAATCCCGGTCTCTGTTCGTCGCTTTATTCTCGGTGCACGTGGTGAAACCTTAAAATCGATTAGTCACCGCACAGGCACACGTATTCAACTTCCACCTCGTCAAGGTGAGCCTCACGAAGAAAAAACTTCCGAATTAGATTATGACGAGGAGGAAGAACAGATGACAATAACCATCGAAGGAGATGAAGAAGGTATCAACCTTGCTAAAGCCGACATCGAAGCAATTGTCAATGAAAAGGTAAATTTACCTCGAGATATTCATCGAAATTACCTTTAAAATAAATTTTCACTCAACTCAGAATCCTTACTAGTTTGATTATTTTATTACTCGTGGATATTTTGTTCTTAATATCAACAGACATCTAAAAAAGTGGTAAAAATCACGGATATTGAGCATCATTTTTATCCTTTGATTGCTGGAGCTTATGGTCAGCGCCTTCAACAACTTCAACAAGAATCAGGAGCAAAAATTCATATTCCGCCATATATTGTTTCTTTTGATAATGAAGGACACGAAGGCAATAACACAAGAGATAATTGCATTGTCGTCTCTGGTGAACGAGACGCCGTTCGAAAGGCCATAGAAATGCTCAAAGATCGCCATGAAGAATTGGTACGCCTTTTATTATATTAAACAATACTTTGATTATGTCTTTTTATGTCATTATCATTTAATTTCATTAAAACAAACAGAAAAGTACAACTGCAACCACTAAGACCACTGTGCCAAAGCGTCAACACAAATATTTAATTGGAACGAAAGGTGCAAATCTTCAAGATATTCTCGAGTCAACGGAATGCTCTATAGAGCTTAGTCCACCTTCTGATCCATCTGAAGAAGTTGTTATTCGTGGGCCAAGTAGAAATCATTGGAAGGCAATGCAAGCAGTATCTGAAAAAGCAAATTCAATACACGTCGAGACTTTGGATATCGCAAATATTCATAAGACTGAAAATCCAATTGAGCACGCGAAAAATGTTTTAAAATATTTATGGAACCGAAGTAAATTAAGGAAAATTGAGGCGGAAACTAATATTCAGATTATGGTGCCTAAAGGATTCCCATTAGATAAAGGAATTGTTCTGGAATTTGTTGGAAAAGTTGTTAGCGATGTCGAGAAAGCTAGAAAGGAAGTAATGGAACTTGTGAAAAACTTGGTTAGTATATTATAACGAATGAAATCTTGTACTTATTGATAATCTAATTATAAATATTGTTCATATCAGCCTCCGATCAGTTTCACTATTGTTTCCATTGAACCTCATCTTCATCGTCATATAATTGGCCGTAAAGGGCAAAACCTTCAACGCGTCAAAGAAACTTATGGCGTCGAAATTATTGTTCCTGATGAGAAAGATGAAAGTCCAGATATTTTGATCGTCTTTGAGGGTAAAGAAGGTGATGAAATTCCCACTGAAAAGAAAAAAAAGGAAGCTCATGTTAAAGATGTGCTAGACAATGCAAAGCAAGAACTGATTAAGGCTGGCCAAGATGCTGTAAGTAAATTGCTGCAGAAAATTCAATTAAGTTATTATTAAATTGACATTAATGTGGTATTCAACCGAAAATAGTCGGATTTCGCCACGCATACACTCACAATTCCTGTTCGTTTTCATCGACACATTATCGGTCCACGAGGAGTCACACTTAACAGTATAACTGGTGGATCTGATGCTCCAGTATCTGTTAAATTTGGTTCATCTCGAACGGGTGCTGCTGAGCGTTCTGCTAATGCAGAAGGTAAAAAAGCAACTACAATACCCATTTCTGACGATATTGTTGTCATTAAAGGCCCGACAGAGGAGGTGAATCGAGTTGTCAAAGAAATTAACAAGGTTGTTGAAGATGCAAAACATATTGAGGTTAGTGTTTTATAAATATCTAAGGTTACCGTTACCTAAAATGGATCTACAATTTTAATCGATTTATTGAGTTGATTGATGCGCTATATCTACTTTTTTACACCATATAATTTCATTTAATTAGAATTTATTATTTATCTACTTTTTTTTTTAAACTTAAATAATTCAAATATTAGATAATGAATTCATACACAATCGACTTCACGTTTCCTGCTCAATATTCTGCACATGTCATCGGAAAAGGTGGTTCTCACGTTACCCGTTTAAAAGAAAATCTAAATGTCAAAATTGATATTGAAGGCGGTGCAAAGGGTGAAGAGAAAAAGACACATCCTGGTGAAAATGTAAAGGTCACAATTCAAGGGAGAAAAGATAATGTCGAAGAAGCCAAAGCAAAGATTTTGGATCTTGTTGATAAACTGCAAGATGCAACGATCCTTCGACTTAATGTTCCTGCTGAATATCATAAATCGTTGATTGGCGTTGGTGGTCGATACGTTAAACGATTAGAAGAGAAATACAACGTGCATATTCGTTTCCCAAAGAACAAAGAATCGACTGAAGAAGCTGAAGATGACAGTGAAGCACAGAAATTCGATGAAGTTATAATAAAGGGTGGTCGAAGAGGAGCTGCAGATGCCAAAGCGGAAATGATGGAGTTGTTAGAATATGAACGCGAACACGATAATTCACTTATTTTTACAATTCCGGCCATTTATCTTCCACATGTTGTTGGACGAGGTGGTGTTAAAATCACCGAGATAAAAGATGATACTTTCACTCGTATCGATCTTGGACGTTCTGAACCATCACCTGATAACCCAGATGAACAAATTGTAAATGTAGTTATTCATGGTACTAAACAGGATATCGTCAAAGCACAAGAGGCGATACTTCAAATTGTGCATGAACTTGAAAGTCAAACCACAATAACAATAAACATTGATCCACAACATCATAAATACTTGATTGGTCCAGGTGGTAGTCGTATCCGTGAAATTGTTGCTAAAGCGGGTGGACCAGACGAAAAATCTTCGCAGGCTGGTATCGTTAAATTTCCACGTCATGGTTCTAATAGTGATGAGGTTATATTGAAAGGGGATAAAAATATTGTGGAAAAGGTGAAAATAGAACTCGAAAAATTAGTAGAAGAACAGGTATCGATTTCTTATTTCCTATATTTACACTTACTATATAGAATAGATTTTAAAGCGTAGTTTCATTCCAGAATAATCTCGTGGTAGACTTAATAGAGATACCTCGAATACAACATCCTCAAATAATTGGACGGAATGGTACCTCACTTAGAGATCTTCAGCATCGGTTCAATGTGGAAATTCAATTCCCGGGGTCGAGAGCTTATAATGATACACATTTGTCAAGTGATGTGAAGGTAGAAATCGAAAATAGCGATGAAGCTGTGAAAATTATTGGTAAAAAAGAAAATATCGAGGCTGCAAAAACGGAAATTTTGGTAAATAATAATAAATCTTTTTTTTTTGATTATTCAAATTTTATATATCAAGCTTGGTAAATTCTCTTGCAAATTTCTAGTCGAAAATTCGACACATTCACACTGTCAATGTACCGAGAAAGTATCATTGTGCGATTGCAGCGAACGGTGCTACAATGCGTAAACTTCGTAATGAATACGGTGTATTAGTAGATCATGGAAATGAGGTTCCTCCGGAAACTAAACCTCAAACAAAAAAACCTAATGGCAATGGTATTGCCGCAAAACGTATTGATGACGAGGATGAAAATTCTGATAAAGACTATGGAGGAGAATTAAACTGGGAGTTAGTAGAAAATGATGATAATGAGGAAGAGGGGGAAATTCCTTGGAACTTGAAAGGCGAGAAAAAACAAGTAGAACGTGCTGAGAAATATGTTAATGAGTTACTTGAGGAAACGGTAAGCTATATGAATATTATATATACTTTATTGCCAACGAATGTCTAATTATTTTTTAATTCTATTAGCGGAACTTCACGCATACAGCTTTCTTCACTGTCCCACAACATCTTCATCGTCACATAATTGGTCGTGGAGGTGCAACAATTCAACGTATTCGAAGCGAAAGCGGATGCAGAATCGATGTACCCAAATCTAACGATGATGAAATTGTGATTGTCACAGGTTCAGTGAATGGAGTCGACGAAGCACGAACTTTGATGCTAGAGGTTATCGAAAGAGCAAATCGATGAAAAATAATACCTCACGTGCGATACGATTAATTAAATATCGTATACATATTTCTTTTTAGATTTAATAATATTCCTCTTCTATAGACATTTTTTGTAACGTGTTTTCAATAATTACCCTTCGTTTGTACAATATTTTCGTAATAAATAATCCACATGATTTGTGTGACGAATTGACTTTGAATTGGGCAAATTTTAAATTTTATACTACATGTATATATAGATTTTAATATGTCAGAGCAAAAAAAGGCTTTGGCGCGTCCACCAACAGATAAAGAATTATTTAACTTTAAATTTATCAGAGTTCTAAATGAAGGTATTGATTATAAACTATGTATTATACACGTAGAAATCAAATTGATATTAACTATAATTAATTAGACCCACGCGCAAAAACCATTAATGTTCTCGGTTCTCTTCAAGTAAACATAAATGAAATTACTTTATCTGATGATGAGTCGACAAATTATGCTATCTTACTATTAGAAAAAACTCATTTTCACAATGAAGAGGTTGCAAATCTTTCACGCGAACGTGTTGAAAAATGGCTATTTCATGAATCGAATGATATTTATCATCAATATTTCGGGACCACGAAAACCCAAGTGAATCTACCAGATTTCAAAGTGACAATTATTTGGCCAGCTACTGAAACGGTAGAAATATGACTTTTCATGGCTGTTAAAGGTCCGGTCCTATGTAAAACATGGGACCGTCAATCAGTTCTGTCCTATAATTTAATAAAACCGATTAACAGCCCTTTTTTCATCACAAAGAAGACTTATTAAGACCATTTTCTTTGTTAAATCAAAAGCATATTCAAAAATATAGTCTTCAATCTCGACACTTAATTAATGAAACACCAGCAATATATCACCAAGTCGTGAAACCATTTATCGAATCAATCCCTCCTAATAGGATAACATGGGTTTACAATATTCTCTCAAAGGAGAAAGAATCAGAGAAAATTTTATTGGAGGAGAAAAATGACGAAAAAGGATTCATACTTTTACCAGATATGCAAGTAAAGAAAACCAACCATCGAGTATATTGTTCCATTTATTAATCAATGACTATTTAATAATTAGGAAATGGGATGGCGTGACATTGGGTAGCCTATATTTAATTGCAATTGTCCATCGACGCGACATTAGATCGATACGTGATTTAAATCAAACACATTTACCGCTATTGAGAGAATTAAAAAGTAAAATTCTCGAGTTTGTGCCAATTAGATTTCCTGGAGTTGGCGCAGATGAATTGAGACTTTTTGTTCATTATCAGCCATCATACTGTGAGTATATATTATTATAATTTAAAAAACCATTCAAATATATTATAAATAATAATTTTCACTACTAGATCATTTTCATTTGCACGTTACTCATATTTGTCAAGATAGCATCCCCGGTGGAATTGTGGTGGGAAAGGCTCATTTATTAGATACTATAATTGATAATATTGCAAATATAGCTAATGATTATTATCAAAAAGCAACTCTGACATATGTAATCGGAGAAAATGAGGCATTATTTGAACCCTTGACTAAAATTGATACATATTGCTAAAAATAAAATGTTGCGAGCTCAGTTTTATCATTCACGAGTAAGTGGATGATTTTTTCATTAACGCTCATAAAGTTTAGAAATGAAAGTACTAACAAAAGGAAAAAGACCCCGATTTATCATTCACCCATTTCTATATTTGAAACTCTCACCCAAACACTATGTTTCTCATTCAATCCAAAATCAAAATAATTATTTACCAAAGCTCTTTCAACAACTCTTCAATTAACATCAACAAAAAACTCAAAAAGAATGATATACGTGACTTTGTGCAAACTGACCTTTCCGATTAGTCTCCGTAATTGAGTAATATTAAATTAATTAACAAATTTCTGTATCATCAAATAAATAATTTAAAATGTGTACTATGTATACTTGTAATTCAAAAGAAAATTCACAATTATAAACCAGAGCTTTATAACACTATCATTTATTAAACTTAATATTTTTGATTCTTTACTCTCTTGACTTTTTTCCTTATTAATTCTCAAAATTTTGTTACTATTTGCTTTTTTATCACTCATAATCCAAATAGAAATTACTATTTAGCTTATTATTCTTTTTAGAAATCTAACAGCATTAGTTAGACTTTGTCAGGGATCACAAGTGTTCAGATTTGCTATAAGACTGATTGTGTTTTGATTAACTTTTATTTCTTCTCTTATTAAAATTTTGATCAACTCTAAGCTTGAGCTGGACAAGTTTTATCAATGATTTGTTTAATAGATTTCTATTTAAAATTATGTATTTTATTTGGTCTTTGAACTTGTTTAAAAAAGAAAATTTATTCTTAATGTTATGATATATCTTACTGAATGCTGCTCATAGTTAATATAAAGTATTGATTATATAACTAGACACTTCATAACAATAGTAAAGTACCAGCTTAGCAAAACAATACAAAATATACATTAATCTCTGTATTTTAGATATATAACATATTTATAAAGATAATAAGCAAATAAGTAGTTATTAAAATATATAATTTTTTGTTATTATCAATTTTTTCAAATAATAATACTTGTATTTCAACTTATTTTCTTCATTTTAAAATTAACAAAAATTACAGAATAATAAAGATCATCTATTTGAACAAAATCAATAGTTATTTGTTCTTGTTCAATGATATCAAAAAGATCAAAAATAATTTGAAATAAATACATAAGGAAAACAATAAACTTTTAACAGAAGTTTTCAACATAATTTTTTTTTGTTTATAATTGAATCAAATTAATTTTAATTGATATTTTAATTTATAGATTATCTTTATTGAAATTGTAAAAATGCTGTTTCTATAACAGATATATTCTTCACTAGAAATTTTAAGAAATATATTAAAAGCTTATATAAATAATAATTATTTTAAAGTTATAACATCAATTAATAATAGTTAATTTTTATAGCAAGTGGACAATATTGATATGATTAAATATTAATCATTTTAAAATAATTACTGTTATAAATATTAATTCTATTAAATATTATAAACTAACAATTTTATAACTTCAATAAAAAATGAAAAATCACTAAAACACATAGTTTTCAAATATAAAAATTATTCTGTTTAGTATTTTTAGTATAAAATAGTTATCATATCTAAAAACAAAATCCTTTGTGATATTATGAGTTCCAGATTCAGGTAAATAATCTCGTGATATAAATATTCAACCAATATCTATCTCAGTAAATTAATAATTTGATCCAGTTGCTTTAAAATCATGATGCTGTATAGCTTTTTCTATTTTTTTTAATTTAAAATAGATAACACTACTACTAATAAATATCACCTTTGTATTTACTTAGTATAGGATGGTTCTATAACAATATAGTACTGATATTCCAGTAGTATATAAAATAGGTGTTATAACAAGATTAATAATTATAAAATCAATTAATATACAATTTCATTAACTAACAAACAAGAAGTAATTTATTGACTAACTAGATTTTGTATTAATCAATTGATATCTTTTGATTTATTTAAAAGATTTTTTATTATATAAAATAATTTATGACTAAGTTATTACAATGTGAGATATATTATATATATTATATAAATATAATATAGTGGATAATATTAATATATTTAAGAACTCTGCTATCTCTGCAATCTCTGTGATCTACATAAATCACATGACTAAATTTAAAAAATTAAGGAATTAAGAATAATTCCAAATTATAATAATAATAGAGATTATAACATGAAAGTATGATGAAAAAGTGTTAAATTATTTTAAAAAATTCTTTGAAATCAATAACAAAAATTTGTTTTGTATAATATTTATTGTTCAGATTAAAATAATCATTTATGTATATTTTTTTCTTTAACATAATAATAAAGATTTGTATTGAATTATAGTAATTATCCAAGTAATATTTTTAAGAATAGAACCTACTGCTGAACACTGTGCAATCATATTAGTAATTTGTAATATTTATCTAAATTTTAATTTAAAAGAGATTATTTGCAATAAAAAATAAATTAAGAATCAAATAAGAAAATATATCATAAGATTTTATTAGTAATTAATTTATAATTTTAACTAATTTATTATTTTTATTTTATTATAGAGAGAATTTAGTAATAATAGTATTTCAATAATTTATCAGTTTATTTAATCATAAAAGAAAAATTAAAAAAAATCAAGATAAAAATAAAAATAAGAAAGTTTCTAAGGAAAAGTATAAAAATAAGAAAGAAAATACTGCTATGATTACTTTAAATGAAGAGTTTCTTTACTTTTGGTAAGAGAGTTATATTGAGAGAGAGAAATAAACTAATAAAATTGATCAATACAAAATAAATATCTAAGTCTGTACCAATTTCAACAGAAATTGTTAAAGAATTTTGTCAAAAGATAAAAAGAAAAATTGAAAAAGTGTGTCAAAGAGGTAATTAACTAATAGAAATTATTTAACTAAATATAAAGATATTAATATTTTTATATTTGTATTTATATATTCTAGTGCTTTTAATATTGAAATGAATAAGTTGTTAAAAGAAATATCATTTATTTAGAGTTGTAATACACAATTATATAATTCAATATCACTTATTTAAAGTTGCAGTGCACAACCATATCACTTATTTAAAGTTACAGTATATAACTATACAAAAATAATGCTATAGCAAATTAATATACTTATTCAAAATACTTTAACTATCTTTTCCAAATTTAAAGACAAAAATATAATAATCAAAAATTCAATTCTATATAAATCAATATTTAGTTTCTTGATTTCATTTAAAATTTATGAAAAGTGACTTGAATTACAAGATTTAAAGTTTAATTAACAAACTATTTTTGCCAAACAACTTGATTTGACAGAAAAAGATATAAGAATAAATATTAATTTTATAATAATAAGATAAGAGAATTGCTATTTGCATCATGAATTTTTGTTATTCGCACCATGAATGCATACATCATGTCAATTATTTCGATTATATCACATACAGTGTGACAATAAATACTAGCAACTACGTAATATATACAAATTTATTATGTTATTTTTTTAGATACTTTTCAGAATCTGACATTTCGACATGTTGCATTTTTCTTTAGAAGACTGTTGTGATTTTGTCTCCTTGTTACTACTCCAGTTGTTATTCTAATTCTCTTCTGTTATATTCTTTTTCTTGTTCCATTCCCAACTGTGGATAGAACTTTCACGATCTTGATTTTGAGACAGGTTTTTTTCATTTCCTCTTCTTTTTTTGTTTTCTCTCTTTTTTGTTTTCTTTTCATTTTTTCTGTTGCTTTTTTTATTCCATCTTTAATCATTGGTGAACTGTTCTTGATGTTAGTCTTGAGGTAAGTTCTCTTTGTTATTTTTGTTAATTTTTTTCCATTTTGTTTTGATTGATTTCTTTCTTCAGTTTCTTTTTTCTTTTTCGTTATTGTTTTTACTGTCACCATTATCTGTTCATTTTGATTATCAGTGTGGTGGTAAATGTCATAATTTTACCCATTCTTATTATTATTGTTACCATCATTTCATCTTTCTTTTGTTAAATGCTAAGAATGTTGTGATTTTGCTGCTTTATCTCTCTAGTCATTGTCCCAATCACTCATTTTCTTTTTTATTGCATCTGTGTTTTCTTTCACTCTTTTCCAACTATTGGTGAATTCTTCCCATTTTCTGATCCTAAGATAAGCTTCTTTTTTATTTATTTATTTATTTTCTCATTCTTTTTCTCAATCTATCACTATCATTGTTGTCCTGTTTCAGTTATAGATCCTTTTATCCTGAGATAAGTTTATTTTATTCTTCTTATTTATTTTTGATGTTGATTTGTTTTATAGTTGGGGTTGTCAGTCTGGATGATGTGTCTTTCCATTGGTATTGGTATTGAAGAGATGTTTCTTCCTCTTCATAATTCTGAGCTATTTTCCCTGCTTTTATCATTTTTGTCATTGGTATTGGCATTGTTGTGGTCGTTGTTCCAGGGTGAGTATTATTTGTTTTGCTTTTTTCTTCCCTTTTTATTTCTCTTTTGTTGCTGCTTCTTGTTGTTATTTCTGTTGGTGTTCTGGTTTCGAGATGAATTTTTAGTTATATTCTTGTGGTGTTTGATCCAATCATCATTCTTTATTTCTATGATCTTTTTATTTAGTCCAGGTGAGTTTTATATTATTCTTTCCTGTTTTTGTTTTTGCTCTGGTGAAAGAGAATATTATATATCTTCCTCTATTGAGTATTTTTCAGGTTGTTTTGGTGAGGAGAGACTGGGTACTGGCATGGTAGTAGTCAAGTTTTGGGGTTAGAATTGCAACAAGAATTAGGAGAGAATGATGAAATATGCAGCAATTGAATTAAACATTCATTTTATTAGTATAATTCTAATATTATTGTTTGTTTCATATTATAATCGATGCACAAAAAATTCACATACACGCATGCAAAATCACATTTACACATATATATATATGTAGATATTTTTGGAAAAAATGCGTCATCTTAATAAGACCCAAAATACTTAAGTATTTTTTTCTATTTTA